TCTTCTTGATTAAGTTTTCCTTGCGAAGGACCATGTGGAGCCGTTAATGGACTTGTAATTAAAATGCTGGTATATTATAATGAAGAGGTTTATTATTGTCAACAACAAACTGAGACGCGTGCGTCTTGTGAAGTATACAGTGAAAGAGAGAGCGCGCGGATACATTGCTCAGCTATTTATACCTTATGTAATAACTAGTGTTGGGAACATCCCGACAAAAATGTAAACAATTAACTTCAACATAACATTACAAGAGAATGTCTAAATAAAATTCACCCTCCGATCCTGATATTGACGTACGTACAGAAAAAAAGTACGATACATCAGTCAGATTGGACTGATATACACAACTGGTCCACATTCTAGAAGACCACCATGCAGTTTCACTGAAATGTCCGACGAAATACCTTAAATTGTGTCCATACATCACTAAAGGTCCTCTATATACTTAACGCAACATAACCAAATAAACAGTCAAGTCAAAATTACGAGGAATTAGTGATGTAAGAGTGTTATAATATAACTTAGAATGTACTTTATAAGTTATTATAACACTCTCACATCACTAATTTCACTTTTACAAATATAATCGTATTCGCATGGAGCGTAGGGAGGGGGGGGGTTGATATTCAAAGAATCGTAACGTAGGTATTACATAATAGAGCATAATCCAGAAAGCTCAGATCCACGTTGAACGGGCGGTTGTCTACTTAAATGTAGCCCTACGAGTGACCGTTTCAGGGTGTACTCCAGTTCTGGTTCCTCGCAAGGTGACGGGGGCTCGTCTGTCTCGTCTTCATGTCTACTCTCCGGTAAAGTGGGTCCGGTTTTGAAGATATTGATCCTGATAGCGGTTGGCGGAGCTCGTGCTGTGGGCACTTCCAAATGTGTGTTGCCATCTAAAGACGACTGGACCGAAGCCTGTGTGGTATCCACAACGAGAGGAGACGACTCCTCAGCGGTGACCACTGGCTCGTCGTCTGTTCACCAAAAAATATATATATATTAATACAACGTTGTATTTCTATTTTCTTGGCTACACGACACGGTATAGTACTAATAAACAAAACTTCTTACGTAAGATTTAAGTAATACCAAGCCAGTTGCACAAACGTCCATTAAAATTTTCATTTCTTTAAAGCGACGTTACCCATAAAAATTTGACATTCTTTAGAGCTTAAAGAAGTCATTAAACCTTAATAGACGTTAGTGCAACTGACCGACTATTATTCAAAGAAATCATAGGAAGAATTTGTTCAAATCACCATTTGTTTTTAAACCTGTTTAGACGGCAAAATAGTGAAATGGCAAACCGAATAAGAAGCCGAATATCCGGTTCGGTAAAGGCTAAACCGAATAGTAGCCCACGATTCGGCGCGCTTCTAATTTATTTATTAATAATAAATAAATATTGGATGACGACATATTATGTGAGTTTTCAACTGTACCCGAGACAATATAGAAAAATCTATTTTATACATTGACCTGACTGCGAATTGAACCCAAGTGATGATGTACTGACCTGGATCTATGGGCTCCTGCTTGACCTTGATCTTGGAGAAGTCTATCTGAGCGAGACGATCGCGTTCAGCCCGCGTGGCGACCGTCTCATCATCCGTGTCCGCGTCATCCACAACCAACACCTCCCCTACTGGCTCCGCTATGTATATCACGTCATCTTCATCGCCTTCGTCGATCTTTAGAATTATTAAATTAACATTAAAATACTTGCATACTGTATCCGGTAATATTGTAAAATAAAAAACATTATTGTGGTGCAATCGTCTAACTATGAGCCTAGTCAAAGGATACATCTTATCGATCTAATGTCGATATTACGTATCATTTTACTACTTTAACGTACATTTTATTTACGACGAACGAACGATAAATAATGATGATTGTAGATTTGACAGCAGCGTTACCTAATAACAAAGGTAAATTAGGCACACATCCCCTGGGGCGCAAGGTTATAAAAGGTCACGAAATGTGTCTTTTGTTTCTTCTATCATTTATTTTAAAAATTAATGAATAGAAAATGCCTATTTTGCAGTTGCGTTTGTAGTTTCTCTTGCTTATTTTTTTAATAATGTTATAATGTAAAACATTAATTCATAAACGTGCACAGGAAAATCGGATGGATTACAAAGCGAAGTAACCGCACGGCGTATTAATATTATTTATAATCATCTCTTCCTCCGTGTGTAGGCCATTTTTCTTGTTTTTCTAATCACGGGGAAAAACAACAAAACATATAACCATCGGATCGTTAATTGTATACCATTAATAATATACTCACTTCAACCGTTTCTGGTTCCTCAATCATCGGTTCAACAACCTCCACTATAGATTCGCTGTCGGACTGTGAATTGGTATCTTCATCCACGTCCTTAATCTCTATTGTTTCTTCCAATTTTTCCACTGATACCACATCATCTAATGACTCTTCTGCTGGTGTCACATTCTTCGTTAACGACAACTAATCAAGTAAAAACGGTCATAGATTAATAACATTTTATTGAAACAACAGCTAAAGCAACCACATATTTAATTAACGATTCTAATGACTTCACTCAAATTATTACATTGAAAATAAGTGTTTAAAATCAAATTGCGGAAATTTAACAAATAGTGATAACCTGACCTGACATAACTACAAACTACAAAGTTAACTTTATCAATAAATCCACATTTTAAAAACATTAAGGAAGCAAAAATTGCCTCTATTGTATTATACACTTATTTTTATTTGTACATTACATTTGACAACATAATGACTTTTAACTAAAGAAACATTGAAATTAAAAAATATAATTTTCTTTAATTAAGCATTTCTCAAAGTATTCCGCAGAAACCTATTGGAAACGATAGGGTCCACAAAAATATTGGTCATACTTCGTCAAACGATTGCAGTTAAAAGTAATATGTGTATGTATGGAGGGTTCTGTGTAAACATTTGTTATTTTCAAAAGGCCCGACAGACCCGGATCTAGGGGAGGAGAGGGCAAAGGGGGTCAGCAGTGGACCCAGCACGATGATAAACTTACCTTGTAATCGTCGAAGCACATCGGATGATAGTTCTTGTCTTCGTGACGTACAGAGTTGCGTAAATGCCACTCCTCCTTGTCTTCGTTGTAGAACTGCTGAAAGGCGTCACCGCACAGGGCACAGTGATGGGCGGCGAGCGCTCCGGCCGCCACGCTCGGTACCTCGTCCTCGTCACCTAGCCCTGACTGGCCTCCGGTAGAGATCGCCGCGCCTTCTTCCGCCCCGCCCGTTTCAAACCAACCCTTTTCTATAATAAATAAAATCAATATTAAAATTTTAATACAGTATTAATTCTTATACTAATTGATATCTATCATAGAAAATGTTCAAATACAGTGTCCTTTTTTTGTATGGGGATCGACTTGCGAACTTGCGCCAAACACAATTTGACTCAACGGGTGATGTTTTTATTTAACATTAAATTTTACTTTTAAATTCAATTAGGGATCTATATATATATATATATATAGATATACTGATTACTGTGATTATTACTCCATTTATTATTTATATAGAAATGCGTTTAAGGCCTCACTTAAGAAGTGATTTTGCACAATATAGATTATTACACTAGTGTCATAACACTAAACTGAACTTTTCTATTTTTGAAGTCGGTTCAGCCAAACGCGAGGTAATCGCGCTCAAACATACATACATTCAGGTCAAACTGAGAACCTCCTTTTTTAAAGTCGGTTAAAAATGAAATAAACTTCCCCGCCACTAACCTCTTTCTTCCAGATCTTCGACCTCTTCGTACTGCAGCCAATCAGATAGATCGTAGTGCCAGTGTCTAGAATGTGCCCTTCGCGCGGAGTGTCTGTCCCTTCGGTTTTGTCTGAAGTGCCAATCCAAATGTTGGGAATATCGCACAGTGTGCTCCGGAGGGAAACGCGTCCCGCAACCTGAGCATTGCATGCCACCATACAGTTTTACTACTAGACCTGGTTGCTTTCTGGAAAATATAGATTTTATAACCAATAGGTCGATATATACATATACTTAAAAAATCAATCATGGAGACGCAGCTGTAACCCATTACTTTTTGGTGATCGGTCTCCCTGAATATGAATAACTTGAACTCGTGTTTTTTTTAAGAATTAATTTGCAATCAAAGTTCCAATGGTTGATATAACAATGAATGTATTAATATATATATGAATGAGTACTATTTATGATATATACAACTTGTTGCCATAAAATAGTCTTACTAATTTGGACATTTAATTTATCAAATTTAAGTGCACGTAGTTAGAATCAGATAGTGAATGTTGCTATTAATTCAATTTATGGTTTATATAATAGTATTGTTCGTCATAGAAACCTTAACTTTACGATTTTATGTTGTACTTAGATTTAACACATCAGTGTCGTATCCATATTCATATAACAAATATGTTAGGGGGCGTCCATAAATTACGTGAGATGTTTAAGGGGGGGAGGGGGTCGAGCCAAATCTCATCTAATCTTACGTTGGAGAGAGAGGGGGTCGCGGCAAATTTAAATTACAGAAAATTTAAAAAACACCTCACGTAATTTATGGACGCCCCCTTATTATTTTAATGAAAAATACTTAAATGAAACCACTTTGTTCCTGGTACTTTAAGATGGAACCCACGACCTTTCGCAATCCGGGCGACTGTTCTAACCACTGAGCTACCCAGGACCTAACAGCACTGTCGAATTTTTCAAGCACTTATTACTTTTTCGCTCCTACAGAGCGTATTTTCATCAATGTTCAGCCAATCCATCCAAACAACCGAAAGAAATATTTTTAACAATATTTAAACTACAAATTTGACACTCCTGTTAGGTCCTGGGTAAATCTAAACCTAAGGTAATTTTATACTCAATTTATACTTATTTATCAAAACTGCACAAAAAAATTATAAATAGTATTTTTAAAATAGTTCTAAAACAAATTAAGTTCCAGAAATAAACAAGTATAATAATACTTACACTCTCAAAGTTTCAGGCTTCAAAAGATCAGCTCTGTGTATGATATTCTTATCTTCTTTAGGCTTAGGTTTCATTACATCTTCGGTCTTTTGTTCTGCTTTCTCTTTTTTTTTCGGTTCATTTGGTACTTGAACGATACCCGTCGCTACTAGCTTGGCGAACAAGTCGTTCACATTGATGTTGCGAAGTAATTTAGCTCTAACCAAATCTAATTTTAGAGGAGTCTTCCTATTATCCTCATCCTTTTCCTTCACATCCTGCCAATCTTTCTTAGTTGATGTTTCCGGTGAGGTTTCTTTGTCATCCTCTGCTGGGATTGCTTCCGTATACGTTAAATCCAGTGATGGAGGTGGAGGCGCTGTTAATTCTTCAACTTGCGGTAGTTGGCGAAGATCAACATCTTCGTTACCAAACAAACTGTGAAGAGTAATAAGTGTGAATAATGTAAAATGTATCATTTTAATGTATATTCAAAGCAACTATGCGTAAGAAAATACTAACACATCAAGCTTATCAATTTTACTCTTCTTAGGTTTGCCGTCAAGTAGTTCTGTGGATGATCTCTTTTGGGCAACGGGGGCCGCTTTTGTTTCAGCCACTGCTCGGTGCAACACTCTAAAGTCAATGTCTTTATTCTCCACAACAACATCGTTTACACCTGCAAAACGACACTCTTAGCTTCATTTTATCTTGATCGACTTCAACACATCTACCGATCTTAACTTTTACCTTACCTAAATGTGGTTTCTTGCCTCACATTATAAAACACAGTGAACACTTCGTGCAAAATGGATTTTTTTTGCTCATTATTATACGAAGACAGTCAGTTAACTTACAAAACAAGTTCTCCAATCTACTTTAAACCTTCATCATTGATGTTTAAATTCAAATTTGATTGCAGGAACTCGGACTTTTAGTAGTTACCCTATAAACTACCGTGTGCACGTATACGATATTTTAGCCCAGTGTTAATTTTCACTTGAAGCACAACTGATACTTGTTATGGAAAATCCCAAATAGACTATTGTCTAGGAAATTGCTTTTTAACTTGGAGACAGCGTAATTGACTGGTCATACCGATGTGACGTCAAATCTTAATGTTGTTATCGTAAAATAAAACAACAAAAAGAAAAGTTTACTTGCAACTACTCAGTCTTATGTATAATATACTATATTATAGTTATGATAGATAATAGACTTAATATTATTACATTAATATGCTTTTCTAAATAGGTATTCTAAAAGTTTACATATATCCACGATCAAAAGGTTATTTAATTGCTTGCAATTCTTCCTACATGAAAAAATAATAGAAGAATAAGGAAAGGAAATCATATCCACCCGATGAACTAAGGACAGATTGGTATTTGTCATCAATATATGAAAGTAATTTAGTTTTCATTAACACCTGCAAATCGCAGCTCCATTTCTAAAATTAAATATAATTATAGTTGTGGGCTGCTGACTGTACGTTATCGTAAAAAAACAACTAAAATCACAATGTAGAAACATTGTGATTATAACGAATGACAAGAACAAAGAACAGGCCCGGATCTATGAGGGTGAAGTGGGGGCACTGGGCCCCGGGAGCCAATGTCAGAGGGCGCCATAATCATCATATTATAATACAAAAAAATAAAACTTTCACAGATACGGATCTTTTCAAAGTTCTTTAATTAAATAAAAGAAAAAAAATGACCGAGGTATGTTTAGGGCGCAACATCAAGTTATAAATCGTCAAGAATAAATCGTAGATCAGGGCCTATTTCTGAAAGACAGACGTACGAGGCCGCGATTGGGCAAAAACCGCATTGTATTTAGTTAAAGTGTGTTTTAACGAATAAAACAAATGAAATTAGTTTGGATATTTAAAAAAGTTTATTAAATATTAGACGCGACATCATTGTGTCTTAACACTAAAGAATATAACAACGAGTTCGTCAGTGCAATATAATACTCCCAAGAGTTATTGAATACTTTATTATCACAGAAGAGTCAGTCTTAAATGTTCCCTTTTAAATCTTATATCACATAGGTATCCTACCCTCGAATTCTGTTAGCACGAATTGATATCTTACTTGACGCTTCTGCTTCCTTATTGGCGTCGGCAGCAGGCCGCTCGGGGCTCCCCGATTTACCCCGGTTGCGGCACATGTAGCAGCGATCCTTGCGATAATTTTTGAGCTCCTTGAAAACGTCCTCCTCAGGTACGGGTGCCGGCGCCTCCGGTTCCGTTTCCAGCCGCCGTTCGCGCCGGCGTTTATCCCTCTGCTCTTTAGGAGTCTCCTTTTGCTTATCTTTCGTGTCTTTTGGAACTTCTTTCTCTTTGGCTTCACTATGTTTCAGCGATCGGGCTTTCTTTTCGGGCGATGAGCTGTTAGAGCCACTGTCCTTGACTTTTTTCTTCTTCCTTTCATCGCGAGTGTCTTTTTTCTTTTTAAGAACAACGGCTTGCTCCTCGTCTGGTTCTCGCTCTCGCTGTATTTTGGGTATCGGCGGGAGTTTAGCGATACTTTTAACTTCAAGGAGGCGTTCGAGGATGGAGTACGATTCCGGTTGTCTTTCAGGGCGTTGCTGCGGTGGCCGCCATTGGCGGTCGTCACGTTTGTTAAGACGCGGATCACGGCGACGGGGATCGCGCGGGTGTAGCACGGGCGGAGCATCAGGGCTGACTTCGATGGTGATAAAGTTTTTGCGTTTAGTGACCCGCCCGAGAGGTTTGATATCGAATACGTTGGGTGCGATAGGTTGAGGGGCGACTGGTGTAGTGGGCGCGGCGACTAGTCGAGCGAGGCGTGGATCGCGTCTAGCGGATGCGAGGGCGCCGCTCACTGGCACAATGCAACCAGCTTTGTTCACCGGCTGAAAACAATTGTTATCGTCATACGTCAGCAATAGATTACGTGATCAATATAAGAGTTCGAATACATTTCTTTAAGACATTTTTACGTTTCGCCAACACTTATCCCTAAGCTTCCAATCCCGCGGCTTGTATCTGATTTCGGTATTTGCGGGACTAGGAATTTTCAATCCCGCGGGATTGGTATTTGCGGAATCCCACATATAGAAAATATTACTATTTATATAAATTAGTTTTGCTATTAGCATGAAATTAATCAAATTAGGCCATTTATTTGTCACTGTAAACTGAAATAAATAGTGAAAAAATATACTTCAACTACAAAATATATTACTATTAAATGAAAATATAAACCAAATAACGTTTTCAACTGAATTTTGACAAAGGAATAACGGCTTCAATTATTTAGTTCAGTCATTTGGTCCGTCAGTGAGTGTACTGACGGACAAAATGGACAAAACGGATTGACGGACAAACTGTCAGTTACCGAGCTAACGCTTCTAGAGAAAGAGGGTATGGATAAAACGTCTCTAGAGTTCTTCAAGCTGCGCCTGAGACAACAGTATGCCGAGTTGTTAACACAAACTTTTTATATAATTATTACAAAACTTACCGGACCAAGCCACTGTTTTACAGGTAAGTTGACAGGTGGTGCAATCTCAGCTGGTACTTGGGCCACGGTGGACACAATTGGTGCTACCGCAGGGTTCATCATCGTAACCGGCATTGTAGTTGGTGGGATAACTGGCTTCACTCCTGGAGTCATCTGTGTTCGTCAAAGAGAATTCAAGATTTAAGATTATGTAAACTATTTGTAAGAATCACGAAATACACACTTTTTTTATATATTGAATGTAAAAATCTTTCTTAATTATTGGTTGCCAAGCCATACACATGTGGACGTTACAGTAACATTCTCAAATTATACATTAAAAAAAAAATTATATTGCATTAAATATAAACAATAAGAAGTTATGCTAATCAATGAATGTCAAAAAAAAATTATAATAATAATTGAATCAACTACTTTCAATGATGGCAATCTGCACTTTTTTAATGTGTGCATTCAGCACAAAAATGAATTAGTGGCATATCAATATACAGAATGATAATAATAAATAATAATATTTATTATTGAAATACATTACAAAACCAGCAATCCTTCATAAAAAATAGTCCTACAAGTTTTAAATATATAAATAATCCGGTATTCTGTAAAAAATCGTATTAAAAACAATCTCAGAACTTAGATCCATCAGTAGCGAGAGTTCTTTTGTGTGCAGCAATCGTAAACTGTACATTCTACGCTGTGTATTTTAACGTATTTACATGATTTCTGATTAGAAATAAAAATTTAAAGACAAAATTTAATTCTAGAAGCACAAACATTTTTTTGATAAAAACGAACACTAGAATAACTAAGAGAACAGAAAATATTATTCTACACGACTGTGTCAAAGAAACTATTTTTTGAATGGAAGAATTCATTTAGGTGAATTTCCCGAAATTCTTAAGAATATTATGAGAAACATTAATTTTGTCATGATTCATTTTGTACATTTAGGTCATTAAGCAGTAATTATTAATTAAAATTCTACTTGGAACGTTTCTGCAAAATCTTGTTTCGTATGAATTAATTTACAGAAATGTTTAATTCTATAAAAATTTTAATAATAAACCATACTCAGTGGAAAATTTAATTGTTTATAAAAAAAGTGCAAATGACACTTGAATATGCTCCGATTTTATTCTGGATATTGAGGATTAAGGAGTTAATCCTCGATATCAGGAATAAAATTTGTGTCTCATCCATATCCACCAACATCAATAATGTCTTCAGGTGATTTTAAGTTTTTATAAAATTGTATACTATCGGCAGGAATAAATTTAAAAAGATGTAATTTAATAAGATAGTAAATTTAATAAGATAGTATGTCCGCTAATTTAACCGGGCAATTTTTTTTTCTATTAGGCCAGAGTATGTACAGAATTATCATTAAATTATTTGGAGTCGTTCTCCTATGGAGAACAACACCAAATCCCTCCCTCCTTCTTTCAATGCTATAGAACATTTACATTTTCAGTGCTATAGAAGTCAGTTTTCTGCATTTTGTATAATTGAAAAGGGTTTCTTTTTTGCATTTTGTATTATACATATGTATTCTTCTCCTGCGTAAATAAATATGTTGTTCTTGAGAGCCGTCTCGATTTCCGAGAAGTCTGTGTTGTTGGGCAAAAATGCCACCTCCTGCGCACCTCTGCTTACTTTTCCTTCTACCCACACATAAAGGCAGATTAACACAGGATCAGTAGCTGTCGTCAGTGCTAGCACCGAAAACTGACTCATACTATTTACACGCAGTCAGTAGTTCGTCTGTAGTCGAGGACATTTCTTTTGATGTACACACGTTCGTAAAGTCAGTGTGGAAAAATGAATTCTCGAAAACAGCAAAAATGAAACTTATTATTGTTGTATAACAAATTATTATTGTTGAGAAAATTTTATCCTTCTACATTCATTTCTCGTGCAATATTCTGTAATGCACGCATTTCTTTATTTCTGTTATTTTGTGATTTATTATCCCACAGACATTCATCGTCGCGGTATAGTTGAATAAGCCTTTAGTTTTCCGTGTTGCTCAGTTTTTGCATCATTTTGTGATGCGGTGCAACGCTGCGTGGTCGCCATAAATATGAATCGGGGATATGAAAGTCAGTGCTGACGCGACAGTACTGTAATGACTTGAAATCAATTTACACGATGGCAGTGCCAGGTCAGCACTGACTCACTCTGACTCAATGTAAAATTGCCTTAACAATGTCTGACATCATAAGAAGCAGAGTGGATTCCACTGTTATAGAATTCTGTCTTTTATAAAAGAAAAACAAAATTCTTCTCTTCTTTCTTTTTCTGATCTTTGAGGAACATTTATAATCTTTCCAACCATTTAATATCTTTTTGACAGTTACTCTAGAACGTAACTGTTCAGTGATTCGTAAAAATAAACTTTACAATTTGTGATATTAAAAATATAAAAAGTATTTAATTATATGTATCTACCTTACGTATGCCCCAATACAAACCTATTAAAACCCCTTAACAGTCTCATTTTTTTTAAATATGAAAAATCATTTGCTTAAAATAAACAGTTACGTACTATGGCAATTAGTGGTGGAATCGAATGTATTCGCTGCAAGTTGATAAATCGGAAGAAATCGATTAGAAAAAATAATTACAGTTTTGATTACTAATCAATTTGAGGGGTAATTTTAATATCTAGAAACATCGATTGAGCAGTGACAAAAATAACTAAAGAAGACACGGCAGTTGTGACATGGCAGAGAACAAACTTTCTACACCAAAGAAAAAACGCCAAACTTTTAAAAGTGACAGCAGTTGACAGTTTTGACGCTGATGTTATTCGTTTTCATGTATACAATTATTATGTACGAAGAGAGATACCAACTTTAAAAAACTGGTACAATCTCTACGAGATAGAGGTTTGTTCCGCAAATCAAAATCAAATCAAAAATCTTCTTTGACGAAGGTGTTGAATCGAATTGGTTTTCATTTTAAAAAATGTAATAAAAGGAAAACTTTGATGGAACGCCGTCAAATTGCTTTGGCTCGATGCGATTTTTTAAGAGAAGCAAAGAAAATAGAAATTGGTCAAATGTTGTATTTGCAGACGAAACTTGGCTCAATGCGAATCATTCGCTAGCAAGAAGTTGGACTGACGATACTGCTGCCTCCACGGCCGCAGTGCCAAAGAGGAAAGGTGAACGCCTCATTATTTGCCACGCGGGAACAGCAAGAGGATTTGTGCCAGACGCTCTGTTAGCTTTTAAGTCCAAAAGAACAGGGGCTATCATGAGGAGATGAATGCGTAAGTGTATGAAAAGTGGTTCCAAGAGATGCTTTTATCTCTCCCAGAACCGTCGATAATATTTTTTGACAACGCATCTTACCACTCTCGTCAAATTAATAAAATGCCAACGCAGGCTAACAGAAAACACTGGATTATAAACTGGCTTCGTGACAATGGGGAGGATGTGGACGAGTCTCTACTAAAAATAGATTGATGGATATATTAAAATAAAAAAAGCGGCCGAAACGATATGTTATCCACGAAATGGCAGCAGAACATAGGCATATCGTACTAAGAATTCCCCTATACCACTGTCAATACAATGTCATTGAGCTCATTTGGGCACAAACAAAAAGGACACGCCGCTAGAAATAATACTACTGCTCCTTTCACTGCAAACAAAATGTTAGATTTGTTAAAACATGCGTGTGCTAATGTGACGCCTGAAAACTGGGCAAGCGTCGTTGAAAAACAAAGAGAAATATTTTCGGATTGGGATCGTTCGATTCGATGTTGCATTCGATAATTTTGGACTAAACAATTCGTCATTAATGTCAGTGATGATTCTAGTTCATATGATGAAGAATCAGACGATATAATGTAATAAAATAATATTAAAATAATTAACTTGTTTTATTCCATGTACCTATAGATGAAAGCATATGAATGCCTAAAGGCGCTATATAAAGTGACTTAAATTTATGGGGTAAAAAACAGTTTTTTCTTTAGAAAAAATATACGTATGTTCTGCATACTTAAATAAAATATCAATTAAAACTTCTTCATAAATAAAAGCGATTACTAAGATAAATCGAATTGGTAATGCATTAGTACATCACTATTTGATCAGTACTCGAGTTGTCAAAAAGATATTAAATGGTTGGAAAGATTATAGTGCTTCATAGTATTAAATATTATTAAATGATTCAAAAATGATTGGGACTTTTATAGAAATAGGATTAGAGCACTTTAGATATGAGCTCAGTAATATTTTAATCCTATAAACAGACTGAAGATTCTATATATGAAGATAATATATATTTTTAAGAAATATATATTTTGACGAACTTGTGGATTGGAACGTTTATATGTTACTACATCCAACTTTAGAGCAATAATTTATTTTGGCCTCTCAACATTGATATAGTGCTTGTACAGTTACTACAAAATGATTTAATAAAACCGAAAACCGTAAAACAATACGATGCCAATACGTTGCAGGTAGGATAGGTAGATTCACTATTTTTAAAACCACGTGATTTGACAGTGGAGTCCAAATGTAAATTTGTAACAAATGCGGACATATTGTATGATATTCAAATAAAATCAACAATAAGAGAAAAAACAATGTATCAAAGCAAAATAATATGTGAAATATTATGATTAATAAGAAATTTTTCAAAACAAGAAAAATAGAAACAAAGATTCAAAAAAGAATAACGAAAACAAGTAACAATAACAAAAAATATAACAACCACAAACACTATTAACTAAAATATTTATGAAAACTTACAAAAAACATAGCGACACATGCTACTTTTACTACATTTAGCCACAGAACAATAATACCAGCTCACAGACTAAGAAGAAGATACGAAGATACTATAACTGCCGCAGACCAATAAGAGAACTAGTTATACTGCACACAGAATTACATGTACAGGTAGGGTTATACAATATGTACTCTAGTGGAGGCGCTATTTAGTGCTTTCATTTTTTTTATATACTTCCTCATAGCATTCTCATTAGTCGTACAAATGATAAATATAATAAAAAATCAGTTTATTATTTACATAGTTACCCGATATGTATTAAACATACTAGGTATTCGTACAAAATAGCATGACTTCTGGCTAACATGAAGTTTATGCAAAGTATGACGTTCAAATAAGTTGTCCTTTCGAAATTTAAAAAAAAAAGTATTATCAGTTATTAAATCTTGTCTTCATAATTAAATCATCTTAATAAAATTTCACCAATCTACAAGAAACATCTGTTCGAAACGAACAGCAAGGTAACAACTAGAAATTTCACGTACACGTTATACTATCGCTACTGAACTGGTATGTTGACGGTGGACGTCGTGCCAGGTGTTAGAGTTTGGCAAGCGAAACGTGACACCACCTATTTTTCCGTTTTCATATGGCAACAACATAGAACTGTCAGTTTGACACTACGTTAGACAATTCAAGAATATTGAATTTTGTTGTTTTTGCGAATTTGAACTTGTGTTTTTGGTTAAAAATTATGTCGAAGCCGATAAAAAGTTCATCGAGGAAACTTCTTTCCATCATGATTGACAAGTTTACTGAAGTGAAAACTGAATTAAATAAAAATTTCATGGAGAAATTACAACGATTAGATAAAGTTGTATCTTTTTTAGGTTAGTTTTGTATTATAATTTTGATACTTTCGTTTTAATTTTCTGTAATTAACTAAACAGATATTTTTTATAAAATATTGCTCTATTTCAGATAACTGTGATGGTGATATTCAACCAATAATGGAGGAGATAAATGCAATAAAAACTTTAGAAAAACAAGAAATGCTGAATTCGGAAACGCAGTACTTACAAAAAATTTCTTCAATGACAGGTCTCTTTTCTTGTTTTGATTTAAGATAGATTGATAGTATTCCTATAATATTTACATAGGTTTTTTATGATGTATTGGTTTTTATTGTTGACATCCAATGATGTCATAAGAATGTTTTGTTTAACAAGGAAATTCACAGAATTCATGAAACTAATCAAACCATGTAATTGTTATACATGCTAAATATGCACATAAACTTAACTAAATTAAACATAAATTGCATTCATAGTTGAATAGGTATTTAAATTATTTTGATGTATGTGTCTATCATTATTTGCTTTTAAATACATTTAACATATCTTTGTTTCAAAGTGTTCAATCTTTTATAGATGTAAGTATAAGGACACTAAGAAGGATAAAAAATGAAGCATTAATTAATAAAGGAAAATGGGACACTCCTGGGAAAAAACGACCTCATCAACCAACAGTGTCTGCTTTAGATAATTTTGATTTAAGTGCAATTCGGAATAAAGTAAATGAATTTTACTGTGTGAAAAAAATTGTTCCAACATTAAGAAGCCTTCACAATGAATTAAAAGATGCAATAGGATTCAGTGGTAGCCGTGAGACTTTACGAAAAATTATGCTTAAGAATGGATTTTCTTTTAAAAGCAATGAAAATGAACGTTCTATGCTTATAGAAAAATACCAGATTTCTGCATGGAGGCACAAGTATTTGAGAGAAATAAATATAAAACGAAACGAAGGAAAGCAAATTGTGTACCTTGATGAAACTTATGTACATCAGAATTATAAAGTTAAAAAGTCTTGGCAAGGACCTTCAACAACTGGTGTCACTACAAAGATATCCTCTGGAAAAAGGGCATATTGTTGTGCATGCTGGATCTGAGGAAGGTTTTGTGCCTGGTGCATTATTAGTGTTCAGTAGTAAATCCAAATCTGCTGATTATCATGATGATATGAACTCATCGAACTTTATGAAATGGGTCAGAGAAAAATTAATACCAAATTTAAGTAAGCCCAGTGTAATTGTTATGGATAATGCCAGCTACCATATAAAACAAATCAATAAACCGCCTATAATGTCTAATACCAAAGCAGATATCCGTAAATGGCTTGTAAATAATGGAATACATTTTGAGGAATATCAGACAAAGGCAGAGTTAATGTGTTTGGTTAATGATAAGAAAACATTGCCTGTATATGAAGCTGAAGAGATTTTAAAAGAACATAATCATGAACTTTTATTGCTGCCACCGTATCATTGTGACTTAAACCCAATAGAGATGGTTTGGAGTCAAGCAAAAAGAAAAATTGCAAGCAGAAACATTGGAATACCAGGAAAGGAAATGGAAAACTTAATAATAGAGTGTTTTAACTTAATTACCCCTAGTGACTGGAAGAAATACACTGATCATGTTTTAAATGTCGAAAATGATTACAAATTAAAAGATGGCATTGTTGAAAACGAACTTGAAAAATTTATTATATCTGTTGGTGCAGACAGTAGTGAAGAGAGTGACTCTGATGATTCCTTGTCATTGTTATCAGGTGTAGAATATTTAGAAACAGATTTTGACTATGAATCAGACTAAAGTATTTTTAGTCTGATTCATAGTCAAAATCTTATCTTAAATTTTCTATTGTGATTAACATGATGATTTTGTGACACCTGTATTATGTAATTTATCCATGGCACTTAATTGTAACAAAAATAAATGTTTTTTTTATTGTAATCTGGTGTTTATATTGACTAATTTAATTTGATAGATAGTGGTTCTGGATCAGAGCAAAAGGTTGTGATGAAAATCCCTTAGGAGACATGTATGTGTTATGAACACATTATAAATATAAGGGCCAGAAATCAAAATTGGCTAACATCACATTTATTAAAAAAATGTGGCCAGAGTCGCCCATATTCATTACAAAAAAACAAAGAAGTCGTTGCAAAAAACACCCTTTTAATTAATGACAAATATGAATTTTTAATATTATAAGTGCTGTTAGCCAATAGGTATAACGAATGGGTTAAAAAAAAGATTCGATTTAGTCCGTCAGTCAGATAATAGAAAAATATTGGATACGTATTTTTTTTCGCTTTAATTTAACAACAAATGGCTTAAGAGGTACTATGCGACGACTTCAAATATGCTTTGCAACAATGTTACTTTAATACAGTTTATCGATACGAAATCAAGTGTCAAAATGGAGTCCAGTGGAGAATGCCGATATTGACATTTCGAAATTGCTCATCATTGATAGAGAATACGAAATAGTGATTTTGACACAATCAAAGTGTCTATTTTTTACGGTGATGACGATTCTTGGTTGTCAGTTGAGTTAGTGAATAGGCCTACTGATATGCTGTTAACTGTACAATTAAGAACAGTCACGCTTTAGTCAAATGTTCCAAAACAAATAATTTTAATTGATATCTAAATGTTAAGATTAAATATAATTAATAAAAGTATCAAAATTATTTTGCAGTACTACATTCAGTGTTTACTGCTTAAGAATTTTTGAAATTGCCGCCCTTTTCTTGTGACACGTTTCGCTTGCCAGACTCTATGTTAAGTACAGTGAGTATGTGCTTTTTAATTCTTACAAGAATATTGTCAATAAAAAATTGACTTCCTACTCAATCTAGTCTAGTAATTAGTTGTAATGAAATATATTACATATATAAGTACCTAGAGTAGCCATGCTCTGTTTAAAATCTCTGTGGTGGTGTCGTGTGCGTCGGGTCGTTACGTTCACTCAAATATAGTTGAGCGAAACGATGGCTGGCTCATGCGTCAAGCTCGTCAACGGGTGCTGCCAGTGGGGGTGAGTCTGTACCTGGACTACTTAATTTCGTCCATTTTTTTAATGAATATAGTATATTGATTTGTTAATGAGCATGTAGGATTTCTGATAGTGTAATGGAAAGTTACTTCATAGTCTAATTAAATCACATTCCAATAGGACTTGTTTGTATGACATAAAACAGTAAGACAAGTACTATGTAACAGTTTAGACTGAATAGATTTTGATATTTATATTAATATAATTCGACGTGTGCATGCATAATGGCAGGTATGGAAATACTGCATAAAAAAAAACAAGCTGAATTCTGCGGTCCGCTTTTGTTCTTGATCCAAACCTGAATTCGAATAAATCGAGTCAATTGAAGATACGAGCAACCAATAAGTTGGCTCATCAGTAATGTTGACATATAACCAAACAGTGTTCCTTTACTTACATGTAACATAATAAATTACTTAAACTTACGATTCAAATAAATTAAAATTAATTTGTAAGTTAGATACTATAAGAAACACGAAACAATGTCATATTTATTAATTTTCGATACTTGATTTACTTTTATTATGTCAGAAACAAAATTTCAATGAATATCATTGACAATATCCAAACATCGCTAGTGACATCTTGTATGATTAAAAGAACTATTTTTTATTTTTTTAAATATTTTTTTTTTTTTTTTTTTTTAATTTATTTCTTAACCTGGATACAAGTCCATCAGTTGCATACATATTAAAAATTGAATTACATATTCAAAATAAGAGAACAAAAAATAATGAAAAGGAAAATAATTTCCAACATATTAGAAGCTATTTACAAAGTTTGGAATAACATTATCTGATGACAATTCTTATTATTATTATTATTTTCTTTTTAAAATTATAACAAATAGATATTAGAACATTTAAAAACAACTGATTAAAATCTAATTAAAAGTTTTAAATCTTTTCAATAGTATTTACAAGGTTTTAAATCTTTTCAATGGTATTTTCTATGAATATGTACAGCGACTTAAAAAATTCAGGGTTACTTAATAATTCTTGAACGCGGCGGGGTACACTGTTTAGTTTTAGTCGTTCACAGATGTCACTAACGTCACATGTCAACGTTAACCGTTGAATATTGAAATTTGGACAACTGAAAATGATGTGCTGAAGGTCTGCGTTATCTTGTGTACAGTAGAGACATTGGGCGTTGCTTAGGACGTTGATTCTCGTAAGATGGGTTGGTACAAGGCAATGACCAAGACGCATACGGGATAAGGCTGTGATAAATTTTCTATTCAAGTAGGACTTGGATTTTTCATACCAAGGCTTGATGGGTAAGTTTCTCTGTATTTCAGCATACCACTTGCCTTTAGTCTGTAATGTCAGTTCCCAGTACGATCTCCAAAGCATTCTTGCGTTTTCCTTAAAAAACCCGTAATAATCAGTAAATGGCACTAACAGAATATTGCTATGATCTTCATCATGTTCCATATGTGTAAGACTGTCAGCTATCTCGTTCCCCTCTATGCCACTGTGTGAGGGAACCCATACAAATTCTACATTAATGCCTTTTCTATTAAGATGTTCAATCAATTTAATTATGTTACACAATATATAATTGACTTTATATGAAGATAGACCATAAGATAAAGAATATAATACACTTTTGGAATCACACACTAGTACAATATTTACATTATTTACATGGTTATTTGCATAAATTAAAGCTTGCTGTAGAGCATAACTTTCTGCTGTGAAAATACTACAATGGCTGTCTAATTTTATGCACTTTGTGTAGTTAGCTCTGGGGTCATAGAAGGCTGATTTAACATTGTCATCTTTTGACCCATCCGTATATATAAAATAGTGATCAGCTTTATTATTTTTAAACTCAAGAAACTCTTTTTTATTGCTAATAATATCTAAGTGATAGTTATTACTACCATTAATTAAACTATTGTATGTACATGTATATAGAGGCCATATTTCAGATCTATGTATGTTTAGACAGCTATTTTTAACATGTGTAAATATTGTAACTATTTCAGGACCTGCCAAAAGTTTATCTAATGTAATATGAGGATGTGCCATTGATTGGTAAACATTAGACATTCTATTCAGCTTTTCAATGAGGAGATTACTGGAAGACAAGATTTTAAGACTAAACTTCTCAGCCAATTGAAGTCGCCTTAGGAACAGTGGAGGTACACATGTTTCAATTTCTAATGAGTTGATGGGAGTAGAACGCATTGCTCCACAAATTAATCTCAGGCCTATATTCTGTATTACATCCAACTTTCTTAAAAGAGTATTACTAGCATTTATATATGCAAAACAGCTATAGTCAAAATGACTTCTCACTATACTCTTGTATAGCATGCCCATAGATTTAGGATCAGAACCCCAAAATGTTCCAGCTAAGTGTCTTAGAATATTTATTGCTCTCATAGCCTTTGCACTTATATAATTTATGTGTTTATCAAATTTTAGTTGGTTGTCTATAATGATACCTAAAAATTTATGTTCATTAACAACAGGAATTTCTATATTATCATATGAAATTTTTATATTATTTCTATTTCTACTAAAGACTAAAACAGAACTTTTTTCTGGACTAATATCTAGCTTAAGTTTATTGTTATAATAAGAATGTAACTGTTTTAAGGCAGTATTGACATTTTGTTGGGCTACATCCAAATCTTGATTAATGCTATACAAGAGTAGATCATCAGCAAACTGTAGTATATTTACATTTTCAGTATTAACAAATTTGAGTATTTCTGAAGTATACAAATTATACAATAAAGGAGACAGTGTTGCTCCTTGCATTGTTCCTTTATTAGCAACTTTAGGACCATGTAATCTATTATTGTATTTTACATAGACTGTTCTGTTATTTAAGAAGGTGTGAAGCCATTGTAATATTTTTTTTGGCATACCTATATCACATAAAACTTGAACAAGTTCCTCAATGTTGACATTATCAAAAGCACCTTTAATGTCCAAAAAAACACAGATCATGTTAGAATGGCTTAGTTTAACATTTTTAATATCCTGTATAAATGATACAAAACTCTCAGAGCAACTTCTACCTTTTCTAAACCCATGCTGAATAGGAGGAATCAAATTATTGGTTTCTGAGAAATAATCTAGACGTAACTTGAGCATGTTTTCAAATAATTTTCCTAAACAGGATGATAACGATATTGGTCTGTAAGAAGAGGGAATACTGTGTGGTTTATTTGGCTTTAAAACTGGAATGACACATTGAGTTTTCCAAGATTCCGGTACTATACAGTATTGCCACAATTTATTATATATATACAATAAAATCTGTTGTGCATTATTATGTAAATGTTTAACTAATATATATGGTATATTATCAAGTCCTGGTGTTGTGTCTTTCCTGCTTTGTAGTGACTTAGTAAACTCATTAAAAGAAAATGGTTTATTTAGAAAGGAATTTAAAGAATTTTCTTCAGCAATATGGAATAAGCTAAAAATTCTGTTTTCATTGATTTCAGTGGAATCAGACAAATTGTTAATAAAACTTAGAATCCATCCATCTTCAAAATGTTTATTATCAGGACTACCAATTCTTTTAAACTTTTTAATATACTGCCATATCCTAGAAATAGGTGTTAGTCTGTTAAAACTATTGCATAGTTTTTTCCAAGATTCCCTACTTTCTTCTTTTATTACTCGTTTTTTGAGGGCATCTACCTTTTTGTATTCAATAAAGTTATCAATAGATGGATTCATTTTGTAATTCCTTAATGCCTGCCTTGATTTACATATTGCATCATCACATTTTTTATTCCACCAAGGGACTGGTTTTTTATGTAATTGAAGCTGACCATTTCCCTTTTTCCTAGGTATAGTTAGTTCTCTTAAGTCATTTAAAATATTTACAAATTTGTTATACATATCTAGTGGATTTTCATATTCAATATCTATTTCAGAGAAACATGTCTCTGACTGTGAGTAATATCTAACCCAATCAGCTTTACTATAGAGATATTTTTCTTCAACAGGACCAAATTCAAACAGCGATGGTTGGATGTTTAAATGAAGGGAAATTGGATAGTGATAGCTACCCATGGGATCATCCTGGACGTGCCAATTACATAAGTGGGCTATGGAGGGGCTGACAAGTGACAAATCTATGGCAGAAGCATTTCTATTAGGATAAGGACATGTAGTTGGAGTACCATCATTTAAAATACATAATTCAGATTCATCTATTATGTTGAACAAACTATTGCCTCTATTATTGTTACTGTGGCAACCAAAGGCTATATGATGTGCATTAAAATCACCCATGATAATGCAAGGTTTAGGCAATCTATTTACAATGTTTTTTAATTTATTACCTTCAAATCTATTACTATTAGGTGGACAATATACACAGAGAATAGAAATATCACCTGATTGTGTTTTAAGGCTAATGGCTATATTCTGAATACTTTCATGAAACTTTGTATTTAAAATATCATATTTCAAACCATGTTTAACTAGAATACCTACACCATTATGTGTATTTATAGAGTTTTTGTAAATAAAATTATAATTTGAAAAGTTCGGAATATTGGAAGAATTTGTAAGCCAGGTTTCATTTAAGAGACAAATATCAATATCTTTTTCAATTAGTAACTTTTGTAATAAAGGTTTTTTGCTCTGTAAACTTTGTATATTATACTGACATATATGTATATAACTATCCATTAAATTAAGTAACCCAAAAATGTATCCTTTATTTTCTTTGAAGTCAAAGGTGCTTTGTCACGGTCATTGCCTAGAGCTACAAGAGACTTTACAATGGCATTGATAATGATTTCATTATTAGCTATAAAATTAATATCAAAATGGTCTTTATTATTGTTAATATTTGTAAGTGGTGGGTATGTTTGGTCATTTTTGGGTGGGGGAGAACTCACCACAGTGGCATAGTTTTGCTGATTGTACTTCTTCCTTAATTCTTCAATTTTTTGTTTTTTTATGGGGCAGTCTCTTGAAATGGCCAAGTGGTTACCACTG